ACAGTCTCAGTGGTTTACTAAAGAAATAAATGTGGTATGATAAACGTTTGATTACTGTCTTTTTAAGCATTAGTGGTGTGTGTGAGTTTTTGTAAAGCCTCACAGGCATTTTGTATCACTGGGCTACAACTCTTAGAGCACAATAATAGAGAGCTGAATCTGACAGAGTTACACCAGGAATAGTGAGTTCAGTGGAGGTTTGGGAGGTAGTCGGACGAAACCGTGAATCTATTTTATCCTCTCCTCCATATGATCGAGCTCCTTTAATTAGTAAATACTCAGGTTCTCTGTTAGTAAATTGTCTGTACCAGAAAAGATAAACATTATTGCTCTGTGTATCATATGAGCAACTCAGTGTTACAGATTCTCCTTCTTTCCTGGTTTTAATTGCATCTTTGTCAGTTGGTCCAATGCTGTCTGGTAACACACCTTGAAGTAAGAGAAGACACAACTAGAGCCATTTCAATAAAAAAATAATAAAACAGTGTGGTGAATTATATCATAATTATGTTAACAGTCTACCTAAATCATAGACAAATAAATGCCTGAGTATCTGACATGCTTTATATTAATAATGTGGGTGTGGACTATGACATTAAGACCCGCCCCTTTTTAATTCAAGTCAAACATTATATTTGAACTGCAGATTGTTTTTGAAAATGTCTTTGAACTTAAACTTTTGTCAAAGTTTAAATGTATCAATATTAAAGCTATGTTATTCCTGAGAGAAAAAATAATAATTGGAACTTTTTAATCTTTTGCTTTTGCAAAATGTATGTAGCATGCATTTAGCAATTATGTATTCTTCAATTTATTATTAGATTATTTTGAAATATATGTGTGTGTGTGTCTACATATATATATATATATATATATATATATATATATAAATATATTAGGGATGCACGATATTGGAAAAAAATTGACATTGCAAAAAAAAATTTTCCTGTGATATAGATTGCGATATATATATATATATATATATAAAGTTTTTTTTTGGCTGGTGGAGGACCAAGAATGACTCAGCAGCAGACTAACTCATCTATTTGGGTCCCTAAAAGTTGATAAGTGACGGGCATAGATGTATATATCTATGAGTGACGGGAAGCTATGCTAAGGTTAACTAGCTTAGCATATATCTTGCTGTCTGCATATTACAGTAATTTAAACGTACCATAAAACTCCTTTAAGTGCATACAATTCAACACAACTACACAAGCATCGTTTTAACCTTTATAACCGAACATTAACGTTACTCTGTCAACAGTCTATTGTCTTAATTACCGCCCTAACAGAGCTAACTTACGTAAACAGAGAGCAGCAGATTGCAGACATCAATAATGCAGCGTAATGGAATAATATACCGATCAAACTCCGCTTTAAGTATGCTACAAGTTTAAAAACTGCCTCTGGAACCCAGTTCAGATACAAAAATTTATTTAACAAAGATAGTAATGCAGTAAAGTATTTTTCGCTCTGCCAAGCCTTCTCTGTTGCTGTATGGAGCAGCAGCCTGCGTCAGTCACCTTTTACCCTGGCCCCACCCCGCCCCCCGACTCCTAAACGTCTGTCTCACTCACTCCCATAAGTGCATACTATTCGACACAACTGCACAAGCATCGTTTTCACCTTTATAAACGAATGTTAACGTTACTCTGTCAACAGTCAATTGTCTAAATTACCGCGCTAACAAAGCTAACGTTACGTAAACAGAGAGCACCCGATTGCAAATGTCAAAAATGGAATGTTCCGATCAAACAAGTTTATAAAATGCCTCTGCAACCCAATTAAGGTACAAAAATCTATTTAACAAAAATAGTGATGCAGTGAAGTATTTTGTTTCGCCCAGCTGAGCCTTCTCTGTCTGTTGCTGTGTGGAGAAGCCTGTGCCAGACACCTTTTAGCTCCACCCCGCCCTCCGACTCCTGAGCGTCTCTCTCTCTCTCTCTCTCTCTCTCTCTCTCTCTCTCTCTCTCTCTCTCTCTCTCTCACTCACTCACTCACTCACTCACGCGGGCATGCACTGCGGTATCATGAGGAAGTGCAGCTTTTTGATATAATGTTTTTATTGTTCCCGAATACAAATAATTTTTCAAGTATTTGTTCGAAATAAGTATTGGTAAAACACGCTATTTGTGCTTATCCGAATACCGTATTCGGTTTCGGCTCCACCCATTATATATATATATATATATATATATATATATATATATATATATATATATATATATATATATATATATATATAACATTTTATTCATTATTTTTTAAAAAAAAATGTTTTTGCTTTGCATCGCACCTCCTGCGATGTGACTATCGCGGATGTGCACATCGCGATTTCGATGCTGAAACGATGTATCGTGCAGCCCTAATATATATATATATATATATATATATATATATGTATGTGTGTGTGTGTGTGTGTGTGTGTGTATTATATCTTATTTTAATGTTATATTTTTCTTTCTTTCCTCCACAATCACTCAGTGGATGAATGCCTCTATTCATTGTTCAGCAGGTGCTTGTAGCTCCTCTCATTTGCATTCTCTCATCTTCTGTCTGTGGTTTGATATTCATTAGATTGTTGTTGTTCAAAGTAATAATGGTTTATGAGTTTTTGTAAAGCCTCTCTAGCATTTTGTACCACTGGGCTCCTACTGTTAGAGCACAATGATAGAGAGCTGAATCTGACAGAGATACACTCTTTATAATGAGTTCAGTAGAGGTTTGGGATGTAATCGAATCAAACCGACTGTCAGGTATGTCTTCATCTCTATTGTATGATCGAGCTTTTTTCCACAGTAAATATTGAGGTTCAGTATTAACATTCTGTTTGTACAAGTAAAGCAAAACATTATTGCTGCTCGTATCATAAGAGCATTTTAGTGTCACAGACTCTCCTTCATAACTCGTCATAGTATCTTTGTCTGGACGAATGCTGTCAGCAAATACACCTGCAATGAAAGTTAAGACATCACTGTAGAACATTAATCATTCAACAGTTATTCTAATCAAAACACAATGTGATGTTAAAAGTGCAAGCTTTTTTCACCTGAAATTGTAATGACAATCATCAGCAGACATCTCTCCATGTTGATACTGCACCTCAATTTAAATAGACTGAAAGTAGTTTGGAGGTGTATCTGTCTTTAATGTGTTATATGTGCATAAACTTGTAAACTAAACATTTTAAATGTTGCTTATATCACTGTCAGCAGTGGGGGGAGGAGCTCTGCTGTTAGTGGATAGTGTGGGTGTGGTCAGTGACATCATAATCAATCTTCTCTATATTTATTTCATGCTGTTAAGTCTAGCAAGGGGCAATGGCTTTATTCTATATTACTAGTTGTAAGCAAAACTTTCATGTTCAACCAAAAACATCTGCCATCATTTGTTCAGAAAATGTGAAATATTGTTTGTGTAGTTTAGTTTTTTGTGTTAGTTTTTATGAAAATTATACAATGGATCAGGAGAGGAACCGAATTTGAGCCAATAAATCTCTCTTCAAACTCAGAGCTTCTGCTTGATCCATGTTTGTGTTTCATTGGTACACTGAAAAAAAAAAAGTTGTGTCAGCAAAATTGTGGAATTGTTGAATTTAAATAAGCTATTTAAATGTAGTAATGTTTAACTTAATTTGTTTAAATTCAGCCAAAATAAATGGTTTATAACCACTTCACTGTTGGAATAATGAATCATTTCTATGCGTGTTCAATAAAAAAGGTCAGAAGAGGTTTTTCTTCAATGTTTAACATATTAACAATTTATTCGATACAACCAAACAATTTAAATCAATTTGAATCGATTCACAGAGTTCTGTTATCCTCAGTGCAATGCAACAGTAACATTTAAGGGTGCACAACCACATCCATTTCTTGACTTCAGCTTATATAGGCAGCTGATATTAACAGGTGGAGTTTAGTGAAATTGGTCACTGGTCAATCATTGTCCAGTCCTCCATTGGCCGCACCCATACATACTTCGTCTTTTTCTAAATTCTCTGCACAAATTTAAAAGCATAAGACTTTTCTCAACCTTACATATTCTGTGTTACGTTTTAACACATTTCTGCTGAGAGGAAGTTAAGCTGCAATGAAATGTTTCATTAGTGTGCATTCATTAGCAAAAATTCTTCATTAGTCTGCAAAGTATATTACACTCAAAAAAGTTCAGTTAATATATCACCTTTAAGCAATACAAATACAATTGTTTAATGAAAAAAAAATTCCTTTGTAATTATTTTTTTTCCAACATAACTTAAAAAAAAGTAAATCTAAGGATTCATCTTTGAATATTTTTCTCCAGTGTTTGCATTTAGGGTGGTCATTTGAGCCCGTAAGTAAAGCTAAAAAAAAGTATACTGAAATATTCACAGACTGGCCTGCTGTCCTTTAGTGGGAGATTTACACTCATAAGAGTCTTTGCCAAAACATCCTGTCATTGCAGATAATATAATTATACAATATGTGTTATTAATGATTTTGCCTGGTTGTTCAAACTACTTATTTAAAATGAATCAACAATTCTTGAGGGTTTTTTAGACAATGTAATTGTTTATGTTTAATCAACTAACAATTGATTTGAGTTGGGTCAAAAACAAGAAATAGCGTGGAAACCAACATTTTTTAAAGTATTAATAACATTATTTTATAGTAAAATATTTTAGATTAATAAATGTTTGATGACTCTTTTTGATTGCCAAGTTAGAAGTACCATTAGAAGTTAAAGACAACAATGAATATATGACACAAGTTTAATTCAAATGTTAGTTTATCAAAGAAATCATCACATGACAGGAAAATGTTATTCAGTGCTTCAAAACTTCAAAACAAAAAAGCATTACGTTTAACAGATGGTTTGTGTGTGCGTGTTTGTGTGTGTTGTACATGTATATATCGCCACCCAGAGGTTAAACATATTTTTACTGTTTGTGTCATATTTGAGGCAACTGATATACGAGTTTATATAATATAATTGTAAAAAAAAATGCAAAAAGGTTCAAGACTGAAACTGTGGCTGTTATAGACTTGATCTTATTATTAGCAAAGAGCAACAAAACAATTTCTAAAAAGCAGAATCTCATTTTTTTGTTTGCCTTTTTCATGTATTTAACTTTAAAAAATATAATAATGTTTGCTTTTTTCAATGGCTGCGTGATGTATCGTTAGTTTCTTTGTTTGATTTGTTTTTGTTGTTAAAGGTTGAGTGCAGTCAGTACTGACTACTGGACTGCTAAATATAAATGAAAATGTTTAAATGTAGGATTTTGCCATTTTAAAATGAAATTGACATTGTTATTGGATACTGTAAAGGAAGGAATACTTTTCTGTACTAATCTGTTTCTTAAGTTTAATAAGTATAAAATTCACATCAGAGGTTCACACAGTGTTTTTGTGTGAGTGTTGAGTGTGTTTGAGTCACTGTGGGCCTCAGAGCACAGTAATACACAGCAGAGTCTGACACACGCAGATCCTTGATTGTCAGAGGAACTGAAGTTTTGCTGAGAGTTGCGTTAAATCTTTTCTTGAATTCTTCCTCAGTGTGTCCAGTCGTAGTGATTTTATTCAGCATGTATTTTGGGACACCATTGACTTTCTGCTGGTACCAGAATAGAGTCGGGCCTGTTGAAGAAGTCTGATATGTGCAGTCAATGGTTACAGTATCACCTTCAAAAGCAGATTGAGTCTTTGTGTGCTGATCAACTTTGTCCTGAGAATCACATCCTGAAATAGACACACAACTAAATTATTAAAAATACACAATACACACATAAATAACATTCATTTCAAATACATTTGAAAATGATCATTATTTGATAATTACTCACGCTTGATAAATATAATTATGATCAGAATGCCACTTTTCCAGAAAGCCATTATATGAAGCTGAAATTCTCTGAAAGTGTTGAAGAATCTGCAGAGATGTTGTGCTCCTCTTCCTCTTTCTGCATCTGTTGAAGCAGCAGTAAATTCATATCACTTGCTCTGCTGCTGGGAGGAGCCTGAGCTGCACTCAAACTCAATATACACTAGTGTGTTTATAGTAATATGCAAGTATTGTGATCAGCTTATTTGTATTTGGTAATGACCAGTATGTTATGTACTTCAGATAACAAATAGTAGCTACAGGTATTGTAAAAAGAACTTTGCAAACCAATTACTTATACAAAAACGATTTTGTATTTGTTTCACCAAAAATTATGTTGTTGTTTTTGTTAATCATTTACACATTGACATACTCTTAAAAATGTTCGCCTTTATATTATCACTTTACAATACTGGCTGGTGAACATGATCTTCCTGAACACGTGTTGTCAGCAGTTGCTTATTACAGACTGAATATTTTGTATGTTGTTTGTACAGTGTTTGTGTGTTTCCTGTGACTGTGGGCTGCAGAGCACAGTAATACACAGCAGAGTCTGATACTGCAGCAGAGGAGAGCAGCAGATCCACACGCTTCAGTGCTTTTACAGCGTTTGAAAACAGACGAAGATCAAGCTTGGATTTGTTATAATATTCATTGAGCATCAGTAAAAATTCAGGTTTTGCTCCGGAATACTGGCGGTACCACTGGAGAGACCTAAGAATGCCAATACTGATGCTGTAATTACAAGACAGAGTCACATTTTGACCTTCGGCTACCTGTTTATCTAAAAACAGGGGATGTATTTCATCAGCAGAAGATGTTCCTGTGAAAAAAAGTCTCAATCATAAATAAATAATACATATGGAAAACTTAATGTATTTGTAGTATTTATAGCTGTTTTTTTTTCTAATAATAAACATGGATTGACTGAATATCTCTTACTTATGATAAGCTGTATTACAATAGAGGTGAAGAGAAACATGTTGTCTTCATAGAGTCAGTGATGCAGAAACAGTGTTTGACTGAACTCTTTCACTCTCAGCAGTGTGAATAAACTCCACCCACTGCTCCACTCAGTTCATTTCCTAACATCAGGGAGAGAAAAAACTTGTTGCGTTGCTGTGTATTGATCACTGGTGCTGTAAGTGCAGTGAAACACATTAACTGAATCTTGTGTACTTCACTCTGTCAGAAAATATTCTTATAGATATTGTAGAATATGTGTTCTGTCGCTTTAAATGCTCTTTTCCTAAGCCCGTTACAGCACATGTACAACAGCGATATGGCAGAAAGAAAAAGTCATCATGTAAAGTTATATAAACTATCTGCTGTGCACAAGAAAAGATGTTAAATGTTATCAAGGTCTCCTGGCTCGTCATCTAACAGATATATTATTAATTGGTCACATTTAACCATTGTTTATTGAGAATGTAGCCATTTAAAGAGCATTTCTGATCCAGATCAACATTGTTGATGTACAGCAGGCAATATTAATCTGAAGTTTACCAGCACACAACAAACAAGAGATTAGACAAAGTGTACAGTTCACAGCTGGAGCATCATACTTCTTCACATGTTGCCTCACAGTGGTCTGCATCAAAACTGCATTTATCATTAAAGTTTTCATTAAATTAAGAAGCGTTCTTGAAAGAGAACATCAAAGCAAGCATTTCTTATTTCTAGTAGACATCCAAACACAATAGAAACACAACACAAATGATTTCTATTCAAATAGAGAGGAATGAATGACCACACGTATGAATTCTGTTTATTTGATGACTAGGCTATTTTTGGACTATTGTTAGACGTATAGTAATATCCCACTGACAGCCCAAATTTAGCCTTGTTTTAGCAAAGATGTCTATGTTTGGACGTCTTTTAAAGTGAAAATTGTTTTGTGTGTAAAAAGGACCTTTTCCAAAAAGCAGCCTTGACAAGAGGATGTCATTTCTAAAACTTAAACTAGAACCCGTCCTAAAAGTGAACATACAGCACAAAAGATTTTTTTAATGTATTTTTTTTAATGATTATGGTTCATATGATGATTTAAAGTTGTTCAATTAAGTCAATATTTAAGTTTTTTTATTAATTTTTTTTTATTTTTTTTGCTTAGTTTATTTACAGCTGCACTCATTCTAATGTTGAGTAGATTTTTTTTATAGATCACAAGCTATTGATGTCTTTCTACTGACCTTTATTATTTATTGTATGATGGAAAACAATTAAAACATAAAGAATGGTTTGTGTAAAAAAAAAAAAAAAAAAGGTGGGGGCATCACAAAGAATGTAATATTTAAACACATGATATATCTCTTTTTACAGGCCTGGTTTATAGAAAGCAAGTTGATGAACACTGCTCAGAGGCTCACAGTGTTTTTGTGTGAGTGTTGAGTGTGTTTGAGTCACTGTGGGCCTCAGAGCACAGTAATACACAGCAGAGTCTGACACACGCACATCCTGGATCTTCAGTGGAAATGATTTTGAACTTGTGTTGAGTTCGCTGCTAAATCTACCCTTGAATTGCTCCTCATCAGAACTGAATCTGTTCAGCATGTATTCTGGGACACTGTTGACTTTTTGCTGGTACCAGAAGAGATATGGCGATGTATCAGTGGTTTCATACTGACAGTTGATTATTACATCTTCACCTTCAACAGCAGTTTTAACTCTTGAGTTTTGTTCAACTTTATCCAGAGAAACACGACCTGTAATATCAAATAAAACATCACTGATGAGGATCAAATTCACTTGTTAGATGATTATCACTAAATGTGTACTTGTGGATTTTGACTTACCCCAGAGAAATGTGAGGAAGAAGATTCTTTGCCAGTTTGCCATTAGAGTAGTTCTTAAAATACTAATTTAGATGTGATGAACTTGTTGAAGTGTTCAGTAGACTGTTGTTTCAGCTTCTCTTTGATGAAGTTTTGCTGTAGTAAAACTGTGACCTGTGGGAGGAGTTTGACTGAACACACACAGTCTGACAGTCTCCTCCCTAAAGTGGCACAGTTTTAAAGGCTGCTCAATATTTGCATCAGTGTTGAGTGTGTTTGAGTCAGTGTGGGCCTCAGAGCACAGTAAAACACAGCCGAGTCTGACACTCGCAGATCCTGGATCAGCAGACGAACTGTTTTTGATGTTGAATTCAGTGTTGCTGAAAGTCTCTTGTTAAATTCAGGCTCAATAGTTCCTTCACTAAATGGAGATTTATTCAGGATGAATGTTGGTGATCTGTTTGGCAGCTGTTTATACCAGAAGAGATAAATATTTGTGTCTGAAGCTGTAGTAGTGTAATTACACATTAAATTGACTTGATCTCCTTCATTTTCAGTCTTTTCTCCTGAAGGCTGTTGAACTTTGTCTTGCCCCCTGCACACTGAAAATAAATATTCCTCTATTAATTTTGACTTAATTTATTTTAAACAAATAAGAGATTGTAAATGATAAATTATCTTTCTTACCAAAGTCCTGTGCTGTGAAGAAAAGAATAATAATGACCAGTGTTGCCATTGCTGAGATCTGTCTTTACTGTAGCTCACTGTTTCATCTCTGCTGCTGTTTTCTTGATATATCAAGTCTTCATGTTGGTCTCTGCTTCAGACTGTTTATTGCTCTTTTGAGGGATGCTGCCCTCCTGTGGTACATTTCTATAGTTCAGCCATTTATTTAGAACAGATCAACATTAAAAAACATTCAACATGACCACGTACACACACACACACACACACACACACACACACACTGTAAGTTTCAGGAAAGACGACCACATTTAAATGCCCAAGTGAAATATTGAATTATTATTCAGTGTGTGTAATGGAACATGGTTTATTGCTGAAACTGGATGATTGAATCAGTTGTAACAATAGTAACTTTCAGATATTTTACATGTTTGGTTTCCACAGTTTTTTTTTTAAATTAATATTGTAGCACCAAACACTTTTCAAACACGTTGCTTTTTATCATACAAATATAATAAAGATTGGTAGAGGGAGCTCAGTTAAATATTGTTTTTAATTTGTTTTTAATTGTCATTTTTAAACTTTTTTAATTTGTTTAAATATTAGCAACAGGAATGGGTATTGTTAAGCTTTTAAAGGTATTACTACTTTTATCTGTACTACTTATCCACTTGGTACCTTAACAGTACTGTATTTTGCTCCCTACGGTTGAAAATAGCTTCCTTAAGTTGCAAAATGCAGTGAAATGATCAGCTGTGGCTATTTTAAATGTCCCCCTATTAATCTGGGGTCGCCACAGTGGAATGAACTGCCAAGTTAATTAGCATATCTTTTACGCAGCGGATGTCCTTCCACCTGCAACCCATCACTGGCAGAGTTCATGATTTATCATTAACATATTCACATAAATATGTTAACTGTGTTTGGGATTGAAAGTAATACAGTTTTGGAACCTCTTACAATGTAAAAATTAAATGTATAATTTCTTAATAAGCAGTTTATTATTATTAATTTATTTGTAAATACAGGAATATAATTTCATTTTAATAGTTTAAGATTATGGATACTCCCATTGATCCACTGACGCACTCGTGTTCCTGTATACACAGCAGCCACAACATGTGAGGAGCCGAGGAGGTAAATGGCGATATCAGAATCGGTACTCTGTATCGACTGATCACCATGAAAAAGAATTGCTACTCGGTATCGGCTGCACAAATCCTGATCAGAGCATCCCTATTTAAGATTTATTTAGGCTACTGCTGAAAAAAAAATACTATTTTCAATGTAACGTAACGAAAGTGTGTGTTTATTAAACTATTAATATCAAACTAATTTCTTCATGACTGATAGCATACATAACTGAGGTTGTGGAGGATGTAACATTAGTAGCTACTGTAGGCAGTTAAAAACTCTGCATTTGTCTGTCTTCAGTTAATGCACTTTTGAAAGATGTTTAGCCAGATTGCTTCTGTTTATGCTGAGCATGTTCTTTATATTATGTTTTTATCTTATATTATATAAAACACAAGAAGAGACACAGATCTTTCAGCCATTGCACATGTTTATTTACAGGCAGGATTGTGCAGTGGGTAAAGGATGAGTGGGATATTATGGGGAGGGACGATGATCAGCATCAGCACCATCTGTTGTTGTGGTTGTGTTTGTTGATCCACAGGTGCTTCAGTTTAGGATCATTTCTGTAACGCTGGTGCAGCAGCTCTCTTTCTCTCCTCTCCCTCTCCTTCTGGAGATTCCTCTCCACATTCCCTTCACCTTCTCCTCTGCCCTGGTGAACAGATTCATCTGCACTTTTCTTTTGGTCTTTGGCTGCTCCGGGACGTTTTCACTGAGCTTGCTCTCAGCCCCATCAGCAGGAGACACGCAGAACAGAGAGGTCATATCATGTTCAGCCTCAGAGTGTCCAGCTTCACTGAGGTCCTCAAACTCAAACACTTCACTCGTCCATGATTCATCATCCAGCACCTCCTCCTCTTCCTCTTCCCAGGCAATCATCTGTCTTTGGGATCTTTCAGGCTCCAGGAAGGTCTGGATGGTCTCCCCAAACTCGCTTTCCTCATCCTCAGTATCAGAAAACATGAGCTCTGAAGCAGATACAGACCAGGCAGAACCTGAAGACTGAGACTGCAGTGAGCTGAGAGAACACACTGATCTCAGAGGAGCACGAGGAGGAGGAATAGGACACACTGTGGAGAACAGCTCATCTGGTGCAGGAACAGGACGTGGAGGAACAGCCAGCAGTTTGGGAGGGTCCATATTAAAAGGACACCCAGGCAGGACAAACTCTTGCTCAGATCCTTCCACAGCACACATCTGTGGTCTTTTCACTGGCGGCAGGGGCTTGAATCGAGCAGCTGAAAGGATGAAGTCTCCAGAGTCACTGGGAAGCTTTGGTAGTTTTCCCTTTATGGGCTTTAAGACAGAGGGTCTGGCAGGAGTCTGCAGGGCTTTGACCTCTCTTTTAGCCCCCTTGCGGCGTTTCTTCCTGCACTTGTTGGGATTAGCAGTGAAGTTGCAGGCCTCGCTCTCTGAACATTTATTTACTGCCGCCAGTTCTTGAGCTGCACATTGCTGTGTCTCCCTTCGATGCCAGAAAGGGATAAAACAGTCAAACAGCTTTTTAAATGCACTGCTGAACAGAGCCATCCTGAACACTGAAGGCTGAAAATGAGTTGGTCAGTAAGTCACAGAAGTAGCTCTCAATCACTCGACCACTCAAACACCAACAACAGTTTAGAATGTGAACTGCAGTTTCTGTATTCCAGAACAGAATTCTGTTTATGACATCACACATTCTGCTGAGCTCCTCTGAGTGACACTTCTGAACTATGACAAACAGAAAATGCTCACACTCACAGCAGTGATGCTAATGAAATAAGTTTACAAACACTCCTTCTGCCCCTTTATATTTCACTGTTAAAAATACACAGTTCATCAATAACCATTAACAAGAACAAGGGAAGACAAAAATTTATTTTCATGAATAAAAATTTCCACAAAATACAAAAAAACAACAACTTAGGCAAAAAAATGCTCAATAATACTCAATTAAATGCCAATCTTTTATTAAAATTGGCCTGCTGTGCAAATACTTTCTGCTTTTGAACTCTGCAGGCCAAATTAATGATGTTATAGTAATTATGTTGCTGTATTATCAATAGCTCAATATATTTTTTATACACAAAAGTAAATAATGACAAACTTTTTAGAGTTAAGTGATCTAGCAATTTAATAATTATTTGGTTTAATCATTTTTGTATTATTATGAAAGTATTCGTTTTTTAATTAAAATGATTCTGTAAAAATATTTTTACTGCCACTAGATGTTAACTGTTTGACGACAGCGGCAACTGCCTAATGCCTGTTTCACACCGCAAGCGTGAGCAGAGCGTGAACACAGCGCGTGTTTTTTGGCGTCCATGTTAAAAGATTAGAGCTTTCATACCGCACGCAACAGCAGCGCGTCAGAGCGAGACGTGAGCGACGCTGAAGCAGCTGTGCAGTAATAGTTTCGGTGCTGGGTCTATTTTTGCCAATTTTTTCCCAATAAATGCATAATAATATCAACTGATTTATATATAGTCAATCAAATGAACTTAAACGATTAAAAACTGCAACAAAACAGGGAACAGGGCATGTGTGTGAGCGTGAGTTTGCCTGGTAGCTCACCTTTTTTTTTTACACGGAACAGTGCATGATGGCGGCAGGCACGGCAGGGGTAGTCACAGCTCTCTTAGTTTACAGTTTGTTTTTTAACCTTTTATGTCCTGTTGATTTTAATTTATTTGCAGAGCACTCTGCTAACTACAATGCACAATCAAAAAAACTCGTTAATATTGCTGATAGGTTAATTAAACAAATACACAACATCTCTGGAAATTTTGGACTCGGGAAGCGTATTGTAGCAGTAACTTTAATTTTTCCTTCTTTGCACAATCGAGTAAAGTCACAAACAAAGTCATCAACCCGACTTTATCAAAATGAAGCTTTAGGGTTGATTATCATGATATGTCTGTTGTTATCGGGAGACGTTCATCCCTGCCCTGGTCCTCACTACGCTAAACCAGAGAATTTTTCGGATTTTATATCAAATCCCATATCCTCCCAATGGCATGCTGAGGGTCCAAGAGCACTGCAGTTTGGTTACGTGCCGGGGTTTGGTGACGGTGTTTTGCCCGTGTGTAATCTGGAGATGGGTGTGGAGGTGGTGGAGGCCCGGCGTCTGGGCACTGCCGGCTTGGATCGACGTTATGGATATTCCAGCCATCTGGAGTCCGTGTCGGATCCAGCTATCCTACAGGTACGCACTTTGGGTGGCGGTTCGTTACAATCTGGCTACGCTCATCACACTAACCTGCG